AGGGAGGGAGGGAGGGAGGGAGGGAGGGCGGCAGAGGGGCGTCTCCCGGGGCCCTCCCGGGGGCCGGTCGTCGGCTGACATCACGGCTCGGGGGCGAGGGCGGAGGCGCCGGGCGGGCAGGCACAGCGAGGCTCGCCGCTCGGGCAGCGCACAGGTGCCAAGCGAAGAGGCAGGAGCCGCAGGACGCCCGAGATGCCCGCCTTGCCCGCCGCCCTGCTCGCCCTCCTGCTCCACGTTCACCTCTGCAGGCCGGCTCCGGTGAACGGTAATGCCTTGGCGGGGAGGGTCTTTCTGGGGCTGGGAGCGACCCTCACCCAACCCTCCTGGCTCTTCCTCGCGCCGGCCGGTGCGTCTCCCCCGTCTCCCCCCACATGGCTGCATGTTGCGCTGCCTCCCCGTGGCAAGGGGAAAGCGCTCAGACCGGGCCGGCGTTTGCCCTCAGACTGTCGCAGAGCGTTTAGTGCCGGCTTCGGATGATGGTTTCTGGAACCTCCTAGGGGATCGCTGGGGAGGGAGACGTCGAGGCTTCCAGCCAGAAGCCGGAGAAAGACAAGGCAAAACTCCGGCGGGGCGGCGAGGGGGGGGCGGCTCTTGGGAGACCCCTGCAAGGGTGGAGCCCCTCCTCTGCAGAGACCCTGCTGCCCCTCCCTGCCCGGACGGAAGAAGCAGCAAAGTCCGCGGAAGAGCCGCCTTCTGCTCTCGGTTAAAGTCAAATTGGAAGCCTGTCCCGATTCCAAAGAGAGACCCGGGAAGGGAAGGGAAGAGCTGCGGGGGAGAGGAGGGGGGGAGCCGGTGGGCTCAGCAGGCAAAGGGAACCGAGCTCCGAGATGCTCCAGGAAATGTTTCCTTCGGTGAACGGGAGTAATCTGATCTGTGCTGCTTCTCCTCCTCCCTGTTGTCCTCCAAAGGGACATTTCCAAAGCTGAGGTTGCGGCACAAAACGCTCTCCAAGATCTGCGCGGACAGACCTGGCGCCCGGCTTCAATTCTAGGGGCTGCCTGGGGGCAGCTTTTGAAAGGATGGGGGCCATCTGAGCTCCGAAATCAGGTTTATTCACTAAACAATGTTTTCAAGAAAAAAAAAGAAACAGGAGGCCCCTCCAGGCACAAAAGTTCTGCTGCCAATATTCCCTGGCGGTTTTCTTACCCTTCTGGTTTTGTATAATTGGGGTGAGTTTCAGGCTGCTTTAACATGACGCTGATGTCCCTTTCCTTTTCCTTCCAGGGTCAAAGTGGTCCTACATCGGTAAGTCCCCCCCTTAATTCATGAGATTAAGTCCTATTTGGTGGCTCCCAGTCTGAGTAGATCCAGGAGGCGCAAGTGAGTTCGTAGCCGAATCTTCTCGGTGCCACAATCTGCACAAACCTCCCATTCATTCATATCAGTTTGCCGTGGTGGGAGAAGAAGGAAAGGCTCCGTAAGTCTAAGCCACAGTTATCACTTTGGGAAAACCACTAAGTTGCTTTCGGGCAGCTTGTGGTTGAGCGTGTTGTGGGAGCCGAGTAGTCCTTCCCATAGGTTGGGGGAAGCAGAAGACCATGCTAAGCCATCATTGGGTTGCCTGTTGCATGTTAAGGGACCACATCGGCTCTCTTTTCTTACCTCGGTTTTGTGGTGG